GGTGTAAGATATGACAAAATAATAATAATTTATAAATTATCAAGGGTTCATTGGGGAGGGGGAAGAAGGGAGGGAGGGGAAAAAATGAGGAGCGATACCAAGTGCTAAAGTAGAAAGCACATGTTTTGAGAATGATGATGGTAACATATGTATAAATGTGCTTGACACAATGGATGGATGTATGGGTTGGTTTTTGAACTGACAGTTCTAGTCTAATTGCCTGTATGCCAACCTATGAAAGTTGGCAGTTCGATCCACTCAGAGGCATCGTGGAAGACAGGCCTGGCAATTTGCTTTCAAAAGATCACATCTTTGAATACCCTGTGGAGTACAGCTTTACTCTCCACACACTGGGTCACCGTGATGTCAGAAGCAGCTCGAAAGCAACTAACAACATCATATATCCATTATTATAAAGGCATAAACTGGAGATATTACAGGTTTGGTTACAGACAACCACAATAAAACAAGTATAAAAAAAAAGGGTCACATGCTTTTTTTGTTTCCAAGTACATGTAAATTATGTTTACTCTACACTGTAGTCTATTAAATGTGCAATAGTATTATGCAAATAGTTTGAGAATTCCTAACATGTGACCCAGAAACACAAAATGAGCACATGTTGGTTTTAAAAATGATGCCAACAGACTGCTCGATGCAGGGTTGCCACAAACCATCAATTTGTAAAAACCACAGTATCTGCAACGCATCATAAAATGAGGTCTGCATTGTAGTGTGACTTAACATCTAGATGTATGAGTCATTCTACTTCGCTCTTTTCAAGATTACTTGGCTATTCACAGCCCCTTGCAGTTCTAGATAAATCTGAAGATCATGCTTTCAATTTCTGTAAAAAAGACTGTTGGGATTTGTGTTGAAGGTTAGTATTGATTGATATCTTGAAATATTATGGTCTTCTTATCCATGGATACAGAACATCCTCCCAATTATTTAGGTCATCTTTAATTTCTTTCAAGCAGTCCTGGTGATGTACTGGGTTACCTGTTGAGCAGCTACCTTAAAGGCCAGCAGTCCAAATCCACCAGTCAACTCTATGGAAAACATGAGGTTTTTGCTCCAAAGAAGATTTAAAAGTCTAAGAAAGCCAAAGAGGGAGTTCCATTCTGTCTTACAGGACAGCTATAAGTCAAAATCAACTTGAGGGCAGTGGATGTGATTTGGGTTTTAATTTCTTTCAGTAATGTTTTATAGTTTTCAGTCTGCTTGTTAAATTTGTCCCTACACATTTTGTTTAAATGCCATTGGAAATGAATTTGTCTCCTCAGTTTCCTTTTCAGAACGCTCATTTCTGTGTATAGAAAACAACTGACTTGTATGTTCACCTGACACTTTGCTGGATGCATGTATTAGTTCTATAAGCCTTCTTATGGATTTTTTTGGTGTTTTCCAGAAAGGACCATATAACTCACAACATTGGTGGATTTCACTTCTTTCTTCCCGATGTGTATACCTTTTCTTTCTTTTCCTTGCCTAACTGCTCTGGCTAGGACGTCAAGTACAATATTTAATAGCAGTGGTAAGAATCTGAATCCTGAGGGGGGGAAAGAGGAGCTGATACCAAAGACACAAGTAGAAAGAAAATGTTTTGAAAATGTTAATGGCAACATAGGTACAAATGTGCTTAATACAACTGAATTATGGGTTGTCCTAAGATTTGGGGGGAGCAGAGTGATGAAATCCCTGGGGAATACCAAAAATAGACTTTGGAGACAGAGTCTGACACCCCATCAGACTCAACTGGAAAACACGCATAAAGGCCAACAAACAGATCTTGAACTATTTATAGGCTTTTCCATTTTTGTCAGTGGGTTTCTTTTTGTTATTGTTATTTTGTTGTTTTGTTGATTTTGACATCCTTTGTTGTTTTGACATCCTTTGCCTGGTTTTTGCACTTAATAATGTGTCTGCATGTCTATCTAGATAAGATAGGCAGGATAAATAATTTGGAGATGAAAAGAACTAGACCAATGGTTCCAGAGGGATATGGGAGAAGGGGAGGTGGGAGAAAGGAAGGGTGGGGTAATCAACCCAGGGACAAGGGAACAACAAGTGAACTAAAATCAATGGAAGGAAGGGCATAGGATGCCTAGTGGGGCTTAATCAAGGGCAATGTAGCAGCAAGGAATTACTAAACCTAAATGAAGGCCGAACATGGTGGTGGGACAAGAGGAAAGTAAAAGGAAATAGAGGAAAGAACCAAGAGGCAAAGGACATTTATAGAGGCCTAAATACAGTCATGTATATATGCAAATATATATATAATGAAAGGGGAAGAGAACTATGTACTCATATCTATACGTTAAGAAGTAAAGTTGAAGATAGGCATTGGGCCTTGACTTAAGTACTCTCTCAACACAAGAACACTTTGTTCTAACAATCTGGCATTCTGTGATAAGAAAAGGTGTGAAGAAATCTGATGGTGCCCAGCTATCAAAAAATATAACATCTGAGGTCTTAAAAGCTTGAAGATAAACAGCGGTCATCTAGTTCAGAAGCAACAAAGCCCATATGGAAGAAGCACACCAGCCTGTGTGATCATGAGGTGTCAATAGAATCAGGTATCAGGCATCTAAGACCCAGAACAAAATCATGCCCAAGGTGAATGGGGTGTGTGTGGGGGGGGTGGGGGCATGGAATGGAGACCCAATGCCCATCTGTAGACAAGAGATAAACCAGTAAAGGTGCAGGATAGCACCAATGAAACACATAACTTTCCTCTAATTCTTTGGTGCTTCCTTCCCCGCACTATCATGACCTCACTCCTACCTTACAAATCGAATTAGACCAGAGCATGCACATTGCTACAGATAAGAGCCCACATCACAAGGAATCCAGGATAGATAAACCCCTCAGGGCCAACAACGAGATACCAGTAGGATTAGGGGATGGTGGCGGGAGAAAGGGGTAATTGATCACAAGGATCAACCCCCTCTCAGGAGGATGAATAACGGAAAAGTGGGTGAGGGGTGGAGGATGATATAAAATATGAAAATAATAATCTATAACTTATCAAAGGTTCATGAGGGAGGGAGGGCGTGGGAGGAAGGAGGAAGAAATGGGAAGCTGATATCAGAGGCTTAAGTGGGGAGAGAATGCTTTGAAAATGATGATGGTGGCATATATGCAAATGTGCTTGACACACTGGATGAATGAATGGATTGTGATAAGCAATATAAGAGCCCCCAATAAAAGTATTTTTTAAATGTGTAAGAGCCCCCCAAAATAAGATGATTAATTTAAAAATTAATTAAGAAAAAGAATCAGGATCCCTAACTTGTTCCTGATGCTAAGGAAGACATTCTCAGCTGTTTATACATGGAGTATGATACAAACGTGTTTTCCCAAAAATGACTTCTATCACATTGAAGAATTTCCCTATTATTGATTTTTGAATGTTTTTTATCATGAAAGAGTGTTAAATTTTGCCAAATGCTTTTTCTCCAGACTCTGAGACAATCATATGGTTGTTTTCCTTTGCTTTATTTAATGGAGTCTATTACGGTGATTTATGATCTCCTATTGTTTAAGCACCCTTGCATTTGTGGAGTAAATTCTACTTGATATAGTATACGATACTTTTAATATGCTTTTGGGATTCATTTGCTGGTATTTCAGTAAGGGTTTCTGCATCTCCCACTAAAGTTTTAAGAAGACTAGGAGATATCACAAGATGATGTTTAGAAATTTAATTTGTTATTGTAAATTGGTTCTTACTCTACGTTAATATACTGTGCATATGTATATCAATAGTACACATGCATGATATATGACATATATTTCTTAATTTACTTACTTGAAAAAATGGGGTACTCCAGACTTGGATGTTTTCAGTAACATTTAAATTATAAAGACGGTAGTTACTAATGATATTCATCAACACGGGTAAAGAATAAACCATAGTCGTATTGAAAACAAGTGAAAAAGTATAGTCCTACAATAAGAAAGAAGACATTATCCAAGACATAAAAAAGTAGAAAGGCGATGTACCAAGCTTTTCTTATTGCACTAATTCTCAGTGAACTGAAAATTGTTTCAACAAATCACCTAAATTATATTAATAATTAATATTCTGAAATTTTGACATTTTAGATTAAAAACTTCACATAAAAATAAAGCCAAGTTCCTCAAAGGTTTACCTATAAGTCATTTATTTATCAGGGCATAAATATACACATAAATATTCCTAAATATACACAGCTAGTAAATCCTAATTTCCAACAAATAAGATTAAGTCAGAAAAAGATTAATTTTGGAGGAACTGTTTTAATCTTTCACACTCTCAAATGGGTAGGCAGCACACATGCACATGGATCACTCTTACCTTTTCTGACTGAACCACATTTAAAGCTGCACTATGGGGAGCAGCCGATACATAGTCACTGTCATTAAACATCGTCACCATTATGTTCTGACTTGTGAAATAGCTGATAAGATCACTGATATCTGAGTCTGGTATTAGAAAACAAGAAAAAAAATCAATTTAAATACAAAATAGATAACAGCTGGATAAAATATGAAAAATACATGATTGGAGAAGATCACCCTCTTTTAGAAAAATAATGAACCTTTATTAGATAAGAAGTGAGAGCATTTGCTTTGGACTCAGCTAGCCTGAATTGGAACTCCAATTGTACTGCCCATACTACCTGTCTTTCAAGCAACTTACTTAGGTTCCTTTTTTGTAAACTGGGAGCAAAGAGTGACCATGAGAGTTAAATGGTTCAATATAGACACTAGACTTAAAACATAACCAAGCACATTGTTCCAAAGTTAGTTGCTGCCACAGCTACCACTATTACTAACACTTAAAGTTTCTACCATCGATACTTGCCAAAACTCTGATTGACAATATAATCCTGTCTGGCAATAGCACTCTCTAAAAGACATCTGCATGTTCTGGACACGTGTTATGTCAACTGCCTTATCTACCTTAAAATACCCAATTGTGTCATCAGGTCTCGAGTCACATTCTCTAAATTTCCTGAAGACCAAAGAAAAGTTCTAAATCCTATCTCAGGTTTAAATCCATACCAGCATGTCTGATGAAAGGAGGTCGTTTACTCTCCATTATCACAAACGTCAGGATTCATGGAAAGATAAATGTGATACTGAGAAAAAGGAAAACCATGGTCTATAACCATGAGCTCTGGAGCCGCAGTGGTTAAAGTGCATGGCTGCCAAATGAAAGGTTGGTGGTTTGAATCCACCAGTTACTCTCAGGGAGAAAAGGGTGGCAGTCGGCTTTTGTAAAGATCACAGCCTTGTAAACCCTATGTGCTACAGCCTCGCTATGAGTCACAATGGCTCAGCAGCAGACAACAATCAGTTGCATTGGATCAAATTAAGCACCAAATTTGAGTGTTGTAGAACAAATGGTGCTTTTGAGTGGTGTTATGTTTAACACTAACCCCTGAGTGATCTCCATCTGCTGCTTGCCAGTGCAGCTGTGTAATCAAGAATTATTCAGAATTGAAGAAGCTGGAGAGACAAACTACCATTCAGTATATGCTTACAATGCACTTAGTGGAATAGCCACACAGCATGATTCCTAAAGGAAAAGGGGCTTTACTGAAATATGCGACAGGGCTTAGGAAAGCACATATATAAATAACTTTACTAAAACAGTTGAGACAAAAAGCTGTGAAAATACTACAACCCCAGCAGACCTGTGAGAGGGAACACAGAGCACAGATAGCTGAGATGCAGGTAGAATTAATCTACACATATATAAAAATGTCACAGTGAATATTAAGGCCCATGAGGTACTTTATTTGAGCACTATGAAACAGATTCAAACAGAAAACACAAATTCTAACTAAAGAAAAAACTGCAGAATAGTATTTTCTAAGTGAGGATAAGTTTCTAACAGTAAGTAATTCTTCCCCTGAAAATGTGAAGGTTAGATAACATACAAAGAAGCTTTAATGTAATCAAAAAGGAGAGATACTAAACAACAGATGAAGTGGTAGGGAATGGAAAGCCTCAGAGAGTTGAGTGCAATTAAGAACTATGTGGAAATGCCACCTCCTAATATATTTCAACAGGATAGGAAATAAAGCTGCTTTAGTTTTGCTATAAACTTGCCAAAGTTAGCTAACTCATTTCCTCTTCTTGGAACCATTAACTATGTATGCAGATGGGAGCTGCTGGAGGAACAACAGAGTAAGACAAATGTATGACCTAAACGAAACTAAGTCTATTATCAGGTTTCAGTATTTTGAAAATCAGATTCTGTACCAGCTATTGTTAAATCGGTTCTGAACCTTGCTTGGGGCCATATGCTTTGTTACAAAAACATTTTTACATTTTTGTTGCACTTAATGTTGCACTTTCTGATGGAAATTGAAGACTACAGCCTACAATCAATATGGATGACACCCCAACATAACATTTAATGTTTGTTATAAAAAAAACATTTATAATTCACAAGTATATAGGAAATTCAAATGTATACAGGTCCAAATATATCCATTATAAATTTAATCTATTTGATCACAGATACGATGATTTTTTTCCTCTTAATTCTAACTCTTCAGATAGTCCTTGAATAGTTGCTTCAACAAGTATTGTTTCAACATGGCTAATTATTGTTCGTGTATGTAACCTCATAAAAATCAGATACTGTAACTCCTGAAGACCAATTTTTTTAGCTTCTGAAGTTTATTTTACTCAACATGAACTTGAGACAAAACAACATGCGGCCAAGAAAATAATTCCTGCTACTATTTAAAAAGGGATGTTAATGATGGCAAGCAATGTAGATCAGAACAGTTAAATACCTCCTCTTTACTTAAACCATCATTTCAGTTCTATATCAGTATCAATAAAGTACATGTTTCTTTCATTTTATTTCAATTTCATGTAGACAAAGCAGGCCTTTACCTCAAAAATATGTCTAAAATCCAATCTTTTAGCCTATTTCCTCCCCTTTCCCCAGCCCCAACACACATTCACAGACCTTCACACACTCTCACCAGTAGAGTTTTGAAGAAGTAGACTTGTTTTGTATTTATGTGGTTGATCACCAGGCTTTAGGAAATATAAATCTGGAACAAGTTTGACAGGAACCACTGCATTTTTAAAAGAGTGATGCACCAGAAACATGAAAGTCTGAACTGCAAAAAAAATTAAAAGCAGAAGCAAGCTGAAAAGAGAAAATATTAACATGGTTAGTGCTCATTAGCATATAAATCCAGTAAACAACTTCATTCCTATGACAGTTACAAATTAATCACTGAAAATGAAACAATGAAAAAAGAACTTTAAAAAGCAGAATTTCTACTCACAAAGGCCAAAATTCAATGACAAAATTAAAAATTGCAGAAATCAAAGATATGCTGAATATTTTTGGAGTATGCATACATATGCAATAACCTAAACAAAGAATGTCACTTTTTGCTTCTGTTTGCATGCAAGAACTCTTTCTTGCCTTGTGTCTATTTTAGCCACCTACTCTCCATTTTTTCACATATTATAGACTCAAAGAAGAAAAATCTTGGATGACCGGTATCTTTGAAGTTCCATCCTAATCATAATTTAATCACATTAACTTTCATTGCTCCTCTCAGAGGGAAGCACAGTGAGTTGTAAGGATCATCCTTTTCAGCTGGCCCAGTAAATAATTCCATTACTAATTTAAGAGATCCTTTTAATCTGGATGTCAGCTACATTGCCTGTAAAATACCTATATGATATGTGATGTGTCACACAAGGGTAGCCCACACTTAACAAAAAAACCATTCTTAAGTTGTTCGCCAGTATACATAAGTCAGCATTTCCAAAAGTATGCTGCAATGAACTTCAGGCCTATAATAATAGTTGTTAAGTTAAAAAAATGTTTCATAATTAAGATTGGGAAACTACAAGTTTCAAAATTGTGTCATAGAAACTCTCATGTATTTTTATATGCTGATAAACAACTCTCCCAGAAAGGGAATATAAACTTCAATATTTCCTAAACGTATTTAACCACAGAATACCTTGATTGTGTTTAGGGACTACTTTCTGCAAGTAGTATTCAACATGTTGACTTAAATAAACAGTTTTCTTTCAGTAATGATGATATGGGGGGTTAAGTCAGCTACTTGATTGACAGATCAGTCAAGAGAGGGAATACATTTAGTGAAAAAGGAACTAAACAAGCTGAGCTTATTTAAAGCACATAACAATATTATTAATCTTGATTATTATTAAATTGTTATTTCTACTGTTACTTTGATCTAACAAAACAGTTATGTGGTATATGAAAGCAGTTGATACAGTTTATTCCAAATCATTATCACTAACATAATATGAAAGCTAACTTGAAAAATGGCATAATTATCCTAGTTCTACGAGCTAGAAGGCCTTCTCATATTTAAATTTGTTCAACTGTTTACTAAAGTGGGCAGTCAAAATTAGCCCATGCATGCAAGAAAATCATAAAAAACATAAAAGAAAACTGGACAGTAACTCAACCGTCTTTTGTGGAGTGAGTTAGTGCAGTTGTTTGGTGTCACGTGTGTACAACAGGATAAAGAATGCCCGGTCCTGTGTGATCTTCCTAACATATTTAAAGCCATTCTTGGCAGCCGCTGTGTCAATCCATCTCAGTGAGGGCCTTTTTTTTTCCGCTGACCCCCTACCAATCATGATGTCCTTCTCAATGTACTGATCCCTACTGATGACATGTCCAAAGTACTAGAGACAGCATCTTGCCATCCCCCTTCTAAGAAGCATTCTAGCGGTACTTCTAAGACAAGATTTACTTGTTCTTGTGACTATAAACTGTATATTGATTAGTCTTTGTCAACATCATAATTCAAAGGTATCAATTATTTTATGGTCTTCTTTATTCATTGTCCAATTTTTGAAGGCATATGATGCAAATGAGAATACCATGGCTTATCTCAGGAGCACAGTGGTCCTCACAGTTGTATCTTTGTTTTGTAACACCGTTAAAGAAGTAATTTGCAGCAGTTTTGCCTAATGCATTAAGTATTTTAATTTCCTGACCACTGCTTCCATGGGCATTGATTGAGGATTTTCAATAAAATGAAACACTTGATAACTTTTATTTGCCCATTTATCATAATATTGACAGCCATTTTTGTCTTATGTTGGGGTGTCATGCATATTATAGGCTGTGGTCTTCACTCCCATCAACAAGTGCTACAATAAAGTACTCTTCTCTTACAGCAAACAAGCTGTTCATCTGCATAGCATAAGTTGTCATCTCTTCCCATCTCGATGCCATGTGCTTCTTCACATAATCCCGTTTCTGGGATTATTTGCTCAGCATATAAACGGAATAGGTATGATGAAATATACAACTCTGATACACAACTCTCCTGATTTTAAAACAATTGGAGAATATTATTTGTCACTCCCTCATTTTAGATAGGAATAAACAATCCTAATAAAATTAAAAGGGCCTAAAGGTATTCAATGAATTTACTCAAAGCCTAATTATTTTCTGGCATTTTGAAACTATAGTTTTAATCCTTCAAAACTGCAAATTTATATAAGACTGCATTTAAAAAGTTATAATGGTCAGTCAAATTTGTTCCTCCCCCCACCAAAAAAGCACTCATCACCTGGTGATTATACTTACACTGATCTCATTGATTTACTTTCCCGTTTCAAGGTAAGAAAATGAAACTTCGCTATTGTACACATCTGCTGTTTCCAGAGACTCATGGTGCTCACCAGAGAAGCCTTTGTTTCAGAGAGAATAAGAAAGCTCTGCTCCATTTCATCAAACGATTTTAAATCCAGCTCTTCCTCTGGGGGCTGCTGAGTAAACACACTGTAATCTATGTGCAACAACAACAAAAAGAAAGAAAATTGTGGCATATTCCCCAGGAAGGGACAGACCTTCTGGCTAAAATCCTACCAGAACAACATCAGGGAAAGAGAACCTAATTGTCCATCAACAGGCAAACAAATATGCTGTAAAACAGTGCTTACGATGAAATGAAAGGGAACCAGCTACTGCACAACTGCACATGATAACATGGTTTGATCTCAAAAACATACGTAATACTGATTTTAAAAAGCCAGACACAAAGGAGACATATACAATTCCATTTGTCCCCAAAGAGGCAAAACTAATTGGCAGAGATATCAAGATCTGCTGTTTTATATTACACACTCAACATTCATGTAAAATATGTATTTACAGCACCTCGACTCTTACTATGATCTCTCTACCACCAAAGTTTCCTTCACTTTCACGTCTTACTAATCTTCAGTTGTAGGGAAAACTTCACCCCACATGAAACTTCCCCTCAGACTTCACAGATCTGCTTTTGATTCTCACCAGGCTACTGAAATGCTGTTGTGAAGATCACCCTTGTCTTTTACATTACCAAATCCCTCACTGTCCTTTCCATTACCCAAATCATCTCTTATGTCCCTGTCTTACTCTTCAAAGCAAACCAAAACAAATGACCTCCTTTTCATTCCTGAAATACCACCTGTCTTGGTTTTTGCATCTCCATCTTGGAGAGAGAGAAAAGAGAACAATAGTTGCTCCCTTTTCAGTCCCCCCCTTGGCTCCATTTTTAAAATTGATTCCTCATTCAACAACTAAAAAGCCATTTTAAAAAACACAAATTGGACACTGATAGCTGCACACTGCATAATCTGCCCCTTTTCCCACTTGTCTGCTTTCAGCTTTTCCTTGGATCTCAAAGATCCTGTCACAGTGACCATTTTATTTGGATCTCACAGGTGTCCAACTCACTTTGTATTAGCTATTCCCTTTATCTGGAAAGCTCTATCTTAAAATTTTTGCTACCTAGTGTTTCTTGTCATCCAGATCTTATATATTATCACCAACCTCCTCGACCATATAATCTAAATTAACTCTCTCTCAAAATGAATACTTTATTTTTTCATTATTCATATCACAATCAGAAAATGTCAACTCCTTATCTATGTATTTGTCATATCCTTCCAATATAAATAACACACATTTATGTGGTTATCTGTCCGATTCATTTCCAAAAATGGTTTATTGGTTTGATTTTTTTACCTGCTTGGTCAATTTCTGCTTCAACTTCTAGCTTTAAAAATACATCTTCCAAAGTTGTCATGGAAACACCATAAGAAATAATACCCAAACTAGAATGAGTGTCTAGAGCAGCAAATAAACCTGAAATGTGGAAAACAATATTGCATAGTTAATTATACTATCACAAATTATTTTCAAATATCCTCTAAAAATAGCATATAACTAAACTTACTCAGGTAGCCCAATAATTTTCAAATTATCTTAGAGGGTGTCAGAATGCTTTTTCACCCTTAAAAATGACCCAGAATAATAAAGAACTTGAAAGATTTAAGTGAGAAAAGGGTACTGCTTTATATTTTTGTAATCTCTTTAATGTCTGCCGAATAGAGTACAATTAGATTCTCATCTATTTGTTTTTGCATTGAATAAGAATGATAGGATATAACATGTAGTCTCTGGAAAGTGCCAATGAATATGCATGAGAGATGGAATCAAAAGACAAATAAGATATTATAGGTTCTTACAAATGGTTAAAGGGTTTCATCTGTTGTTAACTGAAAGCTTGGAGATTAGAGTCTACCTAGGGGTGCCTTGAAACAAAGGCTTGGCAATCTATTTCCCAAAATCCAGCCAGTAAAAACTCAAGGGTGTCCAAGGAAAGCTGTATTCCTTGAGTGGGAACAGACTCATGAACAAGCTTTGTCTGTATGAGCTCCTTAAAATCATCTTAGGATTCACTTCAGAGGTGTTTCCAAAGCACAACTTAAAAAGGGTGAATCAATGTAACAATTTATCAAGAAACACATGAGAGGCAGGTAACTAAGTAGAGTGAGAAATACTAGATTTCTGGAACAAGCTTGACCATCCATGTTACCTTACTTAATCTTTCTATATCTCAGTTTCTGCATTTTATAAAATGGAGACGATAAAATATTAACTGTCTTTACCTTGCATAGTTGTTGAAATATTAATATAAAATTAAAATGCCGTAGACCAGAATCCTGCACATAATAAGCATTATGTGTTAATAAAGAATCAGTTAAGTAGACACAATGGTATATATATATATATATATATACACACAAGGGGGTACCCAAGAAAAACCAGAGTTGTTTTTTCAAAGCTATGCATTTAAATTTTTTACAAAACAACCTTGTCACCTTCAAAGTACTCTCTATTACACTTCATACATTTGTCAAATCTGTGATTCCATTCTTGGAAACATTTTTTGAACTCATGTTTGGATGGCTGACAGCACTTCCCTCGTTTTTTTCTTCACCTCTCCTATGTCATCAAATAGCTGTCCTTTCATTCCACTCCTCATTCACAGAAACAAAAAGAAGTCCCACAGAGTGAGGTCAGGTAAGTAGGGGTATGAGTAAGGTGACCAGATTTTAACATTGGTAAACCACTGACAGGGGTAGGGTGAGGTGGGGGTGGGGGTTCTTGATTAAAAATTTGGTCTATATGGACCAAATAGACCATTCCCTAGCTTGTCGTGCATTCTGTCGGGACTTTTTTAAAATGCCAAAAATTGGGACTGTCCCACCAAAAGTGGGACATCTGGTCACCTTACTCTAAATAGAAAGCTTGATTAAGTCTGACTTAGTGAAATGAACTCCAAATGCACGATCCCCTTCACATAAAAAAAAAATGAGCATCATCTTGATCTTTTATTTCATTTGATGAACTTTGGGGGAGGGCAAAAGATGACGCTGGCGTCTTCCACTGGCTTGGTTGATATTTACTTTTGGGGTCATAAAAATAGCACCATGTCTCTTCACCAGTAATGACCTTGGAAAAAAGCCTGGGTTGCTTTGGAGCTGTTCTTTGAAAGCACGGCATGTTTCCACTTTTTCCTGGCCAGTCAGACACAAATTTCAGTGACCCTGCTCATTCCCAAATCTTCTGTTAAAATTCGTTGAACAGAGCTCCCAGATAGTCCAGATAACTTCCCATTTCTTTAACATTTTCATCCACTAGGGAAGTTGGTGGACGTTCAGAACGAGGCTTGTTAACAACCAACATTTTACCTTTTATGAAAAAATTCACTGTGACCAGAGAACCTTCCCAGGTGAGGCCACTGGGTGCAGGAACTCAGAGTGAGTTGCTCAATGTTCACCTAGTGGGAAAAAAATGTGTACTACTTCCCAACAGAGCTTTTGCCCAGTTTTTGGGGGGCACCCCTCTCGTATGTATGTGCGTGTGTATAAATATATATATATATATATTTCAATCTAGTTAATTATTTTTATTTTTTAAAGAAATTAATTACTATAGGAATTAATTATAGGATAAATGCTATGGGAATTTGGTACAACACATATAAATATCCTTGAACTTGGAACATATACAATTAACTATGCATGCTCTGTGTTCCCAGGAGGTCTCCAAGGAAACTTGGATAAGGTGACCAGACGTTCCGCTTTTGGCGGGACAGTCCCAATTTTTAACAATTTTTCCCGCATCCCACGGCATTTTTAAAAAGTTCTGAATTTTGGAAAGAATGCACGACAAGCTAAGGTATATGGTTTCGGTTGCCATGTGGCTATTTCACCAGGATATGAGTTTTATCAATGGTGTCCCGCTTTATACCAATGTTAAAATCTGGTCACCTTAAACTTGGAGCAATCTAGTTCTTTCTTGATAACGAAGCAAGCACAACTATTTTTTATGGGTTTTTGTCCCCTTTATTTCTTGATAACAACACAAGCATAATCATTTCTTATGCTCTTTTCCCCTTCATTTCTTTAGCACTGAAGTTAACATACACGTGACAGCATTCTGCATGCTGTTTGTCTAAAAAAGAAACACATTATTAGCTTGCTAATATTTGTGATTTTCAAGATCAAATATATAGTATCAACTCTGGTCACATGGAGCATGAAAACAATATACAGAAAATTAAATAGTAAAACAAGCAAACCGATTCCCAACACAAGATCCCAGTTTAATGAGCAATAAACAAGGTAGGCAATGACCTGAAAATTTGTCCATGTCCTTGAAAGGCAAGCTATACACAAGTTGTTGGTCATCCTGCTGTAGCATAGTAGCTCTGGGTATGTGCTGTTTCACCAGTGAAGAAAGAGATTCTGTGGCACAGTATCTGTCTATGTACATGCTGAAGAGAAGTGAGAGTTCAATGGTTACTCAGTAAACAACCAATGAGGTTCAATTCTAAAAGTTTTAAATTACATTTTGCAGCTAGAAAGTATGATAAAGAATACAGATAAAAAAGAATAAGTAGAATACCTCAGACGGTAACCAATTCCCCATTTACTCTTGAGAAAAATTGAAGAGCCAACACATTTCAACATTCCTTGTGATATGACAGCTTTCCTATCTGCAATCAAAGGTTTACATTTAAATTTTCATATTTAGAAAACATTAAAATGGGCATTTCTATTTCATGGATTACTCTATGAGAGATACATATCTATGATTTCATTAAATCATCAAAATAACCCTAAGGGGAAAGCAGTTGACTGTCATCCCGTTTTTTAGACGAGGACATTGAGTAAGAAAACATATCGCTTGCCATCATTTACTGTCATTAAGTGACAAGCTGGAATCTGTACCAGTGTATACTTTCCTTATACTGCCCCAACTCTCTGACTCTTCCTAAGAGGCTTATTTAGTAAGGCCAGAGCTTTCACATTTTCCTTATAACTAAATGTAAAAACAGCTTCAAAACCGCTAAAGAAATGACAGCAAAAACAGAATGTTCATTTGTGGGGTTTTTTCCATACAAAGATACTGCTGAATAGATAAATTATTTGCCTAATTTATTAGATTATATCACATGCAGAAAAATGTCACACTAGAACTTCTTAGATCCTGCCAAATGCATTGACTTAAACTTATTGTATCTACATGTGCAGACGCTTATAAAATTATGCATGAAAGAGTTAACACGGCTGTCCTTAGGAAGGCCTGCTAGCAAGGTTGGCCTTGGGTGGGTATCTAGAAAGTTGAATTGTGGGAGGGTTCCGACCATTCTCAGAACAAAGAGGAGTTCACTGTGTCTCATCTGTATAAACAATAGAATTGCTGCTTTCCTTTTGCAAGCCTGGGATTTCAGAACATGCTGGGCAGAAGAGGCTTCCATGATTAACAGCCAGTAAAACTCACAGTCACTGAGTCTGTATTGAACTTCCCTGGCAGTCATTTCATACAAACTGTCACAAAGACACGAAGTGCATTCTGTGCAGACGCACGAGGAAAGGGATCCCAGAAGCATGTGCCTGGTTTCTTCTACTTTACCCCAGGCCCCTTTCCCCTTTGCTAACTTTGCTTCATATTCCTTCACTGTAATAATGCATAGCTGTCAGTACAGCTATCCACTGAGTTCCGTGAATCCTAGCTAACCAATGAACCTAGGGCAGCCAGGGTAATTCTCAACATAAAAATGCACAGCTTCCAAATGCTGCACCTTTTTGTGAAGCAAACACGCCATAAGGTACCAGCTTCTGTCTGTATTCCTCTGGATTTAACCTGAGTCCACTTCTACTTTGGGCCCATAAACTTACCCTTCAAAAATAGAGCAAAAATCTTACCAGCAAGAATGTCAGCTTCATCCATGAAGTGAGTACTAAACACTATTACCCGACTGGCTTTTCTGTATTTTAGAAGATTCCAAACAATATGCCGAGAACAGGGATCCATTCCAGCTGTTGGTTCATCCAGCAGTAGGACCTGTTGAAAAGCAGTAGAGAAGAGCAGGAAATCCTCAGAAAAATCAAAATACTTAAAATCAGTATGTGGCTTCTGAAAATCTCCCCTTATTTCAAGTTATTCTTTCCAGATATAAATATTAAAGATCTGAGATTTTCACTTACATTTTACATTTTGAAAACAGTATATATGACATGTGAATACCATGTAAGATTTCTTTTTAAAAGGCTAATATTCATAAGATATAAGTGTAAAAATACTCAGATAACTAAAAAAATTAAGTATAATGCTATTATCTGAACAATTCAAGTTTGTAGCTGTGGCAATTTCTTGGGAGAGAAATATAGCCTATTCTAATCTAAGTGAAGCAATTTGTTTTCAACCATTTCTTAATTTAAGTATCTCAGTGGGGGAGGTGTGGAAAAGACTAATTAAGAGTCAGAATCCTGAGTCATCTCCAAAGGATAATGGATAATGTGGCAGGATGGCGAGGATCCAAAAGCATGGCAGCTTTCTAGCCCTGTGCCAAGCACTGTTCCAGGTGCTTCTGTTTGTACAGTACCAGAACCAGCACCAAACCCATAAAAACTAAAGTAGGACTAAAATGAAACTACTGGTCTCTACTCATCTGACATAGAACAGAAAGAAAACCAAACTCACAGAAGAAAAACGTAAAACAAAATTGAAAATCATAAAAAAGACCAGTGTTAGTGGTCTGATATGGGATTGGAGGAACCCCTGAGATCATGGCCCTTAGGTAACCTTCAAACCTAGCACTGAAACCAACCCCAGGATCACCTTGCAGTCAAACAGGCCCCTAAAGTGAACACTAATACTCATGAGGAACATACTTTTCAGACCAATTAACAATGTGAGCTCAAAAGGGTAGTCTTTGCTTCAAAACAAAGCTCAGAAGGGAAGGAGCAAAAAAAAAAGGGTGAGTGAATATTGGAAGAGTAGGGAGAAAGTAGTAAAAGTGCTGTACTGTTTAGAGAATTGCAACCAATATTACAAAACAAAATGTATATAAATTATTTGAATTAAAATGGAATTGCTCTATAAATTATCATTCATATGACATTAAAATTATATGTATATGTTACAATATTTTTTTAATAAAGGGGAAAAAAAACCCTACAGGATTAACAGAACTAAATGGGGTCCCTCTGTCCAGTTACCACTACTTACAGTTCCAACCAAGGGCACAATAGATAGTCTATGGTAGAAAGACATGTAGAACAAAACTCAAATTCCTAAAAATAGGCCAGACTTATTGGATCAACAATAGAGGATCCCAAAATTATCACCACTGTTGTTAGGTAGCATTAAGTCGGTTCCAACTCACAGTGACTGCTATGTACAACTGAACAAAACACTGCCCAATCCTGCACCGTGCTCACAATGGTTATTTTGTTTGAGCCAACTGTTGCAGCCACTGTGTCAATCCATCTTGTCAAAGGTCTTCCTCTTTTTTGCTGCCCTGTTGCTTTGTCAAGCATGATGTCCTTCTTCAGAGACTGGTCTCTCCTGAAAACATGTCCAAAGTATGAGATGAAGTCTCCCTAACTTTGCCGCTAATAGCCCTCTGGCTGTACTTCTTCCAAGACAGATGTTTGTTCTCTTGGCAGACCTTGATACCTTCGTTGTTTCACTGGCACCATAATTCAGTCTTCCTTATTCAATGTCCAGTTTCACATGCGTATGAGACAACTGAAAATATTGTGGCTTGGGTCAGGTGCATTAGTTCTCAAAGTAACCTCACTACTTTTCAACACTTTAAAGAGGTCTTGTGTAGCAGATGTGCCCAATGCAATGCATCACTTGATCTACTGAATGCTGCTTCCATAAACACTGACTGCGAATCCAAGCAAGGTGAAATATCCTTGACAACTTCAATCTTTCCTCCATTTATCATGATCCTACCTACTTGCCCAGTTGTGAAGAGTTTGGTCTTCTTTACTCTGAGTTTTAATACATACTGAAGGCTGAAATTCTTGGTCTTCCTCAGCAAGTGCTTGAAAAGCCCTCCTAACTTTGACCAAGCAAGATGTTGTCATCTCCATGATCACAGGTTGTTAATAATCTTTTCTCCATTCCTGATGCCTGCAATCTTCTTCATATAATTCAGCTTCTCTGATTAGTTGCTCAGCATAAGGATTAAGTATGGTGAGAGGACATAACCCTGATACACACCTTTTCTGATTTTAACCCAGGCAGTATTCCCATAGTCCGTTTGAACAACTGCTCCTTGAGCCATGTACATTGAGCCATGAGCACAATTCAGTGTCCTGGAATTCTCATTCTTCTCAAGGCTATTCATAGTTTGTTACGGTCCACAGAATCTATGTTTTTGTTGTTTTTTTTTTTTAGAATCTATGCTTTTGCATAGTCAGTCAAACACAAGTAAACATCTTTCTGGCATCTTCTGCATTGAGTCAAGATCCATCAGACATTAGCAATCCCTTGTTTCACATACTCTTGGCAGCTCCCTATCAATGAATTGCTGCAACCATTTTGATTGTAAGCAAAATGTTACTTGCATTTGATATTAATGACATGAATAATCTGAGCCTTCTGTTGGGCTGCCTTCCTTTGGCCTGGATACAATTATGGCTAAAATCCAATCAGTTGGCCACGTAACTGTCTTCCAAATTTCTTGGCATAGACGAGTAAGTGCTTCAGTGTTTCATTAGCTAGTTAAAACAGTTCAATGGCTATTCCATTAATTTTTGGAGCCTTGGTGTTGGCTACTGCTTTCAGTGCAGCTTGAACTTCTTCCTTCAGTACCATTGGTTCTTGCTCATATCCTAGCTTCCTGCACCATTTAATATTTCCCCCATAGAAGCTTTCAGTATTTCAATTCTGGATTGAATTTTGAGTTCTTTCGATATGTTGAACATGGCCTTCCTTTTTGGTTTTCTAATTCTATGTCTTTGTAGGTTTTCTAACTCTAGACCAATCATCATTGGATACCCTTTAAACATGGAACTCAAGTCACTCCGAGAGGTCATCTTTCAGCCAAATGATAATATCACCTATGAGGACTTTGTTTCTCTAAGCAACCATCTAAATTAAACCAAGTAGTTAACATTTCCCTAGACCAAAGATGAGAAAATGGTGGGCAACAAAGCTAGATTAACGAGGTGCCGAAGGAATCATTTATCAGGCACCAATGAACAAAAAATCATATCATTGTGTGCTCACCTCACTGATACTATCACTGAAGACAAATGGGTGCATAAGCAAATGTGGTGAA